CTCCAGCGAAGGGAAATCTGTCGGAGGGTCTGGAAATTCTGACGACGAACAATGCATCGCTTCGGAACTGTCCAAAAGGCAGGATTCGCCCGGTGGCGTCGCGCGAAGAGGACAACTTTCGATTTCCTCAATTTGCTCGATTTGTGGGAAGGATGCAGTGACTAGCTCTGCGCTGACTGGTTCCGCACTGACTGGTTCTGCAGTGACTGGTTCTACGTAGACTGGTTCGATAGTCGTAGAAAATATCACGACCGGATCCTCCTTGACAGCGACTGATTCGGTCGCGCTCACGGCGCCTGAAGGTTCAGTATGCGAGCTGAACAGAGCGGCGGCGTCGTCGGAGAGCGGAGGAGGTGGCAAATCGTCTTCGACATAGTCCATAGCCTTAGCGTCGTTTAACGGCTCGCATGACTCAACTATTGGCGCGTCTTCAGGTGCGGACATATCCTCTATTTCTTCGGAGATCAGAGTCTCTTCCGTGGGCAGTGCAGTGTCCGATTCGGGCTCGTTTTCGATTTTTTCCTCGTCGGTTTCGGGGATTACCTTGACGGAATCGGTGGTGTCGGTCAGCTCCTCTACACTATCGTCTTCCGGAATGACTACTGCCAATTTAGCTTCTACTAGAATATCGTCTGAAACCGACATAGGACCTTCCTCGGAGTCTACGACTAGTTCATTCCCAGTGGAAACCGCGATCGGTTCGGCTTGCTTCGGCGAGGTCATCAACGCAATCATCGTTTCTTCCTCGGCTGTTTCCAACACGTCTTTCGCGTAATTATGTTCAGGTTCGACCGCTCTTTCGCATAGCTGTTCTGCAATTTCCGCTTTGTTATCTGACAATTTTTCCGCGCGCTGTGTCATCTCATCCATAAGATTCCCCGCTTTTTCCGTCTCCAAGTTCTCAAACGTGAAATGCTGCTTTATCGTCGGACAGGCGCTATTTGTTTCAATCTCGGTCGGTGGTAACGCCGTAGTCTCGGCTTTTTCATTATATCCGACATTAGGCGATACATTTGTCTTCATAGCATCTCCGTGATTATTTATCTCGCTCTTTATTTGACACTCCACGACCTGTAAAGTCTCATTCATAACTTTATCCGTCGCAGCTACGTCGGCAACTTTCATCTCGTGTTCCACCGTCGACAAAGGTAGCGCCGCCTCGTTTTTGTCATTACCGTAATCCATCGGCGACTGATCCAGCGATATGATCTCCGGCGATTTCAGCTCGCTTTCTAGCACGACTAAAGTATCGACGTGCGTGTCTATTTCCTTAGCGCTAACGTTAACGAGCGGATCCGCCTCTTTCAGGACAGGCTGACATTCCACTTTGCTCTGTGTATTTGTATTATCAACAAGCGCCTCATCCGAACGCTTCGGCGTATCCACTACTAGTGGCGTCTCCTCCACCTTATTTGCCTCGGCTTCCTGGCGCTTACACACTTCCTCCGTCGCGACGGGGCTCTCCGACACGCTCTCTACCTTCGGATCGCACCCCTCGTTGTCACGGCTACTCGCTAACATCTCCGCCTCCTCCTCCTCCGCGACATCTCGAGACTCGATCTCGGTCTCTACCGTCGACGGGCACTCTACCTTCGCGGGGACAAAGGTCGTCGGCGAGGGTGACTCTGTCGAGGAGGGAGCGGGGGGTGAACTCGGGAACGCGCTAGCGAGAATAGGTTCCACGCGGCTCTCTTGGGGAACATACTCGCGGGACGACGGGAACACGTCGGCGGGCACCGACGATTCCTCCTTGTCGGCAACCTCGGCGGGCAGCTTGAGCGCCTCGGCGAGTGCCGTGGCGCTCGCCGCGGCCTGCCGAGCCTGCTGCAAGGGCGACGGGTCTATGGGGGTTGGTGGCGGACTGGATGGGGGCAGGGACGGGAGGTCCTCACTGGTTTTCCTCTCAATGATAGACGGCGTCGCGACTGGCTGGACTCGGAAGACGGGAACCTCTATCGGGTCCGTTACAGACCGACCACCGGCTGGACTGACCTCGACTACTTTTTTCTCGGCCGCCTCGACTTTTTCGACCGCCTCCTCTTTCTTATCCTCGCCGGTTGGGACGGGAGTGGGGGCGGAGGGAGTGGGTTCTTCTTTCTTTTCCTCGGCCGGACTAGCGACGGCTGCTGGCGACGCTGCGGCGGCCTCTTCCTTCGCTTCGACCAACGTGGCCGCGGCTGCTGCTACCGGTGCGGCTACCTGCGGCTCGTCCGCCGACGGACTGCTCATCGCTGACTTCTCATCCGTGGGGCTGCTCGCCGCTGCCGTTGCGCTCTCGGCCTCCTCGCCACCCTGGAACAGTGGAAAACACGTTTCCTTTTAGAAACATGTTACATGTGCTGTGACCGTATCCACCTATAGATCAATAGGTGGTCAGGTGCATAGGTATAGAGATCGGAGATAAAGTGTACGTCAAGGTTATCAGTCGACGCGTTTTAAATTTGGTGAGCGACGATCATTTACAGCAATTCGATCTAGATGGACTGAAAAGCGAAGACGTATTTCACGCGGAGAAACGTCGATTATCCAATCGTTTTGGCGTCCAATGGATCCTGAGTAGAAAACGAGAGAGGTGAGTTTTTACGCCACGCAGACGCAGAGCGACGGAGAAGACTGTTGGTTTAGTTGAGCGGGATATTTTTTTTTTTTTTTTCGTTCACTGCGAGGGGTGCCCGCGACGACTGTGGCGCGTGTTCGCTCGAACCAAGGGTTCAGCTCACTCCGCGTGATTCAAATAAAAACGAGGGTGCACAGCTTAATGGGTACGCCGACGTGAACCGAGAGAAATGGAGCGGGGTAGAAAAAAGCGAGAGTGAGAGAGAATCGGTGTGTAAAGAGATGTTCGTACCCCTGCTGCATGCGAGAGGGTACAAAGTGGAAGCGCGATGGGACGCTAAGCTGCCAACGTTCTCACCCTTTAGGGGCTATGCCAATCGTGTTACTGTGTCAATGAGCGTTTTTTCCTTTCCAACCCTCTTTTTCTTTTTTTTTAAAGACGAAACGACCGTCAACAGGCGTGTAATAACGCGGCGAGATTTGTATCGGCCGATGAATTATTACAGCGTCGCGCGCTGTAATAAGGATCGCGACGCGTTTTATCGCGCGTGAGTTACGACACGAGAAACGCTGAAAGAAGAGAAGAGGAAGAGCTCGGTGCGTGACAGTAAGTGTATCGTTCGTATATAATTCCGTTATCGTTATGGTAACATAATATTCAGATAAAGAAGTGCGCAGTGGAATAAAGGTGTGGGGACACGTTACGTCGACACACACACGCCGCCGACGCGTTATTACGCTTGGAAATTCTCGAGACGCCCGTTCCTATTACAAGCGAGATATGCAGATCGCTTGATCTACTTGTTGGTTGACTCCTATAAGCGTTTAATCAGCGCATCTATACTCGTTTGAGTCGAAACCCATCGCCGCGCGAATGCAAATGCAAACCGATAGCTACATATTTACGTGAATGATAAATATTCAAACACACATGTATTTAAATTAATCGGGAATAATAAATCGTCTGCGACAACTGATATGCATAAAAATTTCGTTTTTTCCTCATCCGGGCGAGACTACTGTGCGTAACAATTTGTTAGTCGACGGTCATAGCTGGTCGCCTTCCCCTCGGGAGTGCAAAACATTCTCGATGATACTTTCGGCTCGTGCAACTGAGACGACGAGGAGCCGCGAGACAAAATCAATTCTTGAAACCCGAGAGGGAAACAGAAACCGGACGTGAGAAACGCGTCGCGTGCTTTATTGTCCCGCGTTCCGTATCGATCGCCCAGCCGTTTCTCGACCCTTACTCACTCTCTCTTTCTCTTTTTCTGCTGTGGATTTTCCTAAAGAATATAAGCGTCTCTCGCTTAAAGAATTACAACGGCGTGCAACGAGGAGGAGAGGCACTTGGAGAGGCGTCCGCTGTAGCTTTTTACCTTGGCACTGCTCAGAAACACAATCTCATTTCCCTTGCTGAGAAAGCTTCTCCTCATTTCATTTATTCAAGATCCGTGGTTTTAACACTTCGCATAAATCGAATGAGACGTTGGTAAAGCTTTCGATAAAAGCATAGTTTATTCTATCTAAATGAAAGAATTTAGATTTATGTGTGTTATTAGTTAAAGATATATTTTTTTATTTTTTAGGTATTTCTTCTCTTAACGTATACGTTGCGATTCTACGATCATCGACGACACTGACGACCTTTCCCGGAAATGCGACATCAACTGCTCTGAAATTCGTCACAAATCTTCGAAGAGCGGCGACCTGCTCCCAATTCCGTTAGGAATTTTCCACTTGGTAATCTTCTTCCGCTTCCGTCTGAATCGCCGCCAATATTTAGCCGCAGAGCATCGCGACGGCGACGGCGTCGAGGTGAAAGCAACCGTAAATGGATGGCTCGCGTCGCGAGTATTTGGCCTAATACCAAAAGGTAAAAACGCACGTCAAAAACTGGCGGCCGGCCAGGATTGTGTGTCGGAGGGCCATTGTCCGCAAGACATGACAGGCAGAGGGGGCAAGTACCGAGGTAATGAACTTCCGGTTGCACGGTGTCCTCTTACGACGAGATCGATCGAGAAATTGCGAGGCCGCCTTTCCTATATACGCACCGAATTGCCGTTGGCTAGTGACCAATTCTGAGTAGGTTAACGGTCCGATACACAGAATATGCAAAAAAAAGTCGCATACCCCGAATGCAACTTTCCGCAGTGAAAAGAACGCGCTGTTGGTTTTTTTTCCCAGCGAGCAAATTTACAAATTCGTAACTTTTATCATTTTCTCTTGAGAATACCGACGCGAATGACGCTTTAATAAAATAATCAAAGATAAGAAAAAGAAGTATATAAGGACGAGAAATGTTAAGTAAATTGCGGACAAGAATCAAGTCGCGAAATAAGTTGACGGTCGCGATTCATTTCTTTTCTTACTGAATTATATATTATATACTGAATTATACTCTCTCTCTCTCTCTCTCTCTCTCTCTCTCTCTCTCTCTCTCT